TGTCACAGACCGGAAGAGACCACGATGACCTGACAACCAATGGAATGTGCCATCCTGCGACAGAAAAGGGACATTAGTAGAAAAGTCAGAAATTCGAATAAAGTGCATAGTTAATTAATAGCATTGGGTCGATGTTTATTTGTTTTGATAATTGTGCAGGGTTTATGTAACATGACCCTATTGGGGAAGCTGGGTGAAGGGTGCATGTGAACTCTTTGTATTATTTTTGCAACTTTTTATGATTTCAAAATAAAAATTTAAAAACAGGGACACCTGGGTGGCTCAGTTGGTTAAGTATCTGCCTTCGGCTCAGATCCTCTGTCCCTCCCTCTGCTCTCTCCCAGAGCAGTTGTCTATGTGTAAAGGGCCCAGAGAAATTGGGGGTTGGGAAGTATGGCCCAGACACCTGGGGATTCTGTCTCTCTGCCGCCCCATTCCCTAGCGCCCTTCTATGCTGAGCTCCCAGCTACCCCCAGAAGCCTTCCAGGCTGGCCCTGCCCACATCTCATTACAGTCATGCCTCCACCAAGTGTTCATCCCCCCCCCTGAAATATGGATAGCTCCTGGTCTGTCACACCTGTAGTGGGTCCTTTGAACAGTGTCCCCTGCAAAGTCACATCCACCGGAACCTTGGAATGTGTGACCTTATTTAGAAATAGGGTCTTTGCAGATGTCATTATGGTAAGAATTGAGGTGAGATCATACTGGGTTAGGGTGAACGCCAAACCCAGTGAGCGTCCTTTTTTTTTTTTTTTTTAAGATTTTATTTATTTATTTGACAGAGAGAGCCAGAGAGCACAAGCAGGGGGGAGCGGGAGAAAGAGAAGCAGGCTCCCCTCGAGCAGGAAGCGCAATGTGGGGCTCGATCCCAGGACCCTGGGATCATGACCTGAGCCGAAGGCAGACGCTTAACCGACTGAGCCACCCAGGCGCCCGCTGAGTGAGTGTCCTTAGAAGAGACAGAAAAGGACATAGAGAGACAGGGGCAGACATAAAGGGCCGTGTGAAGATGGGGAGGCAGAGATCGGGGTTTTGTTGCCACAAACCAAGGAATGCAAGGAGCCACCAGAAGCTGGAAGAGGTAAGTAAGGGCACTCCCTCCTGCAGAGGGAGTGTGGCCCAGCTGACACCTTGATTTTGGACTTCTGGCCTCCAGAACAGTGAGAGAATACACCTCTGTTGTTTTAACCCACAACATTTGTGATGATTTGTTATGGCAGTCCCAGGAAACTAATAAATATGGATTGCACTTTGTTAATTAATAGCATTGGGTCGATGTTTATTTGTTTTGATAATTGTGCAGGGTTTATGTAACATGACCCTATTGGGGAAGCTGGGTGAAGGGTGCATGTGAACTCTTTGTATTATTTTTGCAACTTTTTATGATTTCAAAATAAAAATTTAAAAACAGGGACACCTGGGTGGCTCAGTTGGTTAAGTATCTGCCTTCGGCTCAGATCCTCTGTCCCTCCCTCTGCTCTCTCCCAGAGCAGTTGTCTATGTGTAAAGGGCCCAGAGAAATTGGGGGTTGGGAAGTATGGCCCAGACACCTGGGGATTCTGTCTCTCTGCCGCCCCATTCCCTAGCGCCCTTCTATGCTGAGCTCCCAGCTACCCCCAGAAGCCTTCCAGGCTGGCCCTGCCCACATCTCATTACAGTCATGCCTCCACCAAGTGTTCATCCCCCCCCCTGAAATATGGATAGCTCCTGGTCTGTCACACCTGTAGTGGGTCCTTTGAACAGTGTCCCCTGCAAAGTCACATCCACCGGAACCTTGGAATGTGTGACCTTATTTAGAAATAGGGTCTTTGCAGATGTCATTATGGTAAGAATTGAGGTGAGATCATACTGGGTTAGGGTGAACGCCAAACCCAGTGAGCGTCCTTTTTTTTTTTTTTTTTTAAGATTTTATTTATTTATTTGACAGAGAGAGCCAGAGAGCACAAGCAGGGGGGAGCGGGAGAAAGAGAAGCAGGCTCCCCTCGAGCAGGAAGCGCAATGTGGGGCTCGATCCCAGGACCCTGGGATCATGACCTGAGCCGAAGGCAGACGCTTAACCGACTGAGCCACCCAGGCGCCCGCTGAGTGAGTGTCCTTAGAAGAGACAGAAAAGGACATAGAGAGACAGGTGCAGACATAAAGGGCCGTGTGAAGATGGGGAGGCAGAGATCGGGGTTTTGTTGCCACAAACCAAGGAATGCAAGGAGCCACCAGAAGCTGGAAGAGGTAAGTAAGGGCACTCCCTCCTGCAGAGGGAGTGTGGCCCAGCTGACACCTTGATTTTGGACTTCTGGCCTCCAGAACAGTGAGAGAATACACCTCTGTTGTTTTAACCCACAACATTTGTGATGATTTGTTATGGCAGTCCCAGGAAACTAATAAATATGGATTGCACTTTTCTTATGTTTGTCCATATCTTAAGTAATTTTGATGTGTATCCTCACAAGGATACACAAGGACAGTCTCTTCCATTAGCCTGGGCTCTGAGGACAGGGGCTGTGACTCTGTCCTCGGACTGGGATGTCATGAGGTCCCCTCCTTCCTTAGGAACCCATCCCCTAGGTGCCCAGCCCATCCTGAGCACACAATGCGGGCTCTGTGGGGGGGGGCTGCCTGGTCCTGCTGCCTCACTGTTTGGATTGGCATTGGTCCCCCCCCCTGCAGGCTGGCAGGGAGACTCGCCAACCACAAGAGACACCACCCTAGGCTCCTCTTTTGCCCCCTCCTTCTTGGGGCAGCTGGAGTGAGGGTCAGGTACTGGTGTCCACACAAAGCCTGGCCAGGAGTCCAGGGCTCAGCAGACAAGCCCCTGTCCCATGAATTCCTGCTGCTCCAGCAAAGCTGCCTCGCCTCTAAATTCCGTGAGCACCAGACTAGACCATTTGTGCCTGGTTCCATGTCTGCAGGGCTTAGTCTCAGGATCTGGGCCAGGGTTCTCATCCTGGGTGCCGGCAGGGTGGGGGCAGGGGAGATCAGACTCAGACTCCATGCTGGGGTTCTAGGGTCCACAGGGGCAAGGAGGGCTGGCAAAGGTCTCTCCTTATATTGTGTGCACGAGCTTATATGTCATTGGTTCCCAACTCTCTTTACTTTTAGATTTCCCTTGGAAAAGAAGGAGCCTCTTTTGGGTTCCGCTGAATCAAGTGTAAGGGTGGGGGAGGAGAGTTTTTCCTGTGTCCTGTGCTCTAGGGATTTTATCCGTGGTTCCCTGCAGTGGAGGGAGACAGGGTGGTGGGCAGCACAGAGAAAGCTGGTGGGCTCTGCACCCACTCCCACTCCCCAGGTCCCTCTGGATGCTGCATTTTTCTCTGGTAAGTGCTCCCCTGCCCCACCCAATAACAATATGCCTCCTAACAAATACATCTGTCCCTCAGCCAAAATCCCTGCTGCCTTTCACTGGGGAAGTTGTAGGGCTGGGCCAGGGTGGGGGACCATCCTCTGGAAGGAAATTAGAGTGTCTGTCAGGGGTGGGTGGGGTGAGGTGGGGCCCTTACTTACTCACATCCTTGCAAGTCCTTGGGCAGCAGATTTGGGGAGCCCAGAGCCTCAAGTGTCTGTCTCAGCATTGTCTGCCCTGGTGAGGGGGTGCTCTCTGGCATCTGCTTTGGTGGCAGTCGGGATTGGGGGAAGAGGGTGGTTTTGCTTCCCTTCTGGGAGCAGTTGATCCTAGGAAGAGTCGGAGCCTCCAGCGGGGGCTGTTGAGGCCTGTCTGGGAAGATGGGACGCGTCAGGCAGCCCCAGACACGACTGCATTCCTCCCAACATGCCTGCTGGGGTCTGTGGAGCTGAGGGGCTGGCAGGAGGGCGGGGCGTGGCTGGAGGGGTGCCTTTGGAGGTTGTCTGGGAGACGCAGGGCAGCTCAGGTCCCCATCTACGAACCTCCAAGGCAGAGCCAAATGGACCCCTGGAAATGTACCAGGAGCCTCAGGGGTTTCAGGAGTCAGGGTCCCTCAAGTCCACTCCCAGTGTCTGCAATGCCTCCTACCCGCAAATCCCTTGGGCCAGCCCCACAAGGGGCTCCAATAAGGGTGCCCGAGCCAGCTTCTCCCACAGCACCAGCCCTGGGGGCTGAGAGACACCTGGGGCTAGAAGGAAAAAGGCCTTCCTGTCCTGTTCCAGGGGTGTGGCTCCACCCTCTCTGGGCCCAGACTAGGCTACAACAATGCTCACCAGACTTTGCACCACGCTTGGCTTACCAAACCCTTTCGCGTACACTACCACGTTGGATTCTCAGATCTGACCCTGCATTAGGCAGGGCAGATGATATTTACCCCCACTTTACAGACGAGCAAACTGAGGCTCAGAGAAATATCAGGTCCTGGGTGGCACAGGGGTACAGAGCCAGGACGCCATCTGATTCCATGCTCTTTCACCCCGGCTCTGGCTGTGCCTGAGATGCCGCCTGCCCTTGGCCGCCTGCTCAGGGCCAGCCAATGCCATGGGCCCAACCACAGGTATGTAGAGGATCTCAGAGCCTGTGCCCAGGGCTGGGGAAGGCTGCGTGGATTTCCCTTCAAGGGGGGTGTCAGGGTGGAAGCCTGAGCCACTGGACTGGATGTGATAGACTTCTTAGCACAGCCTAGCAGGTCAGATCTGGGAAGACCCCCAGGAACTTCTTGTCTTTTTTTACAGATGGTGATGCTGAGAGGGCATCGCTGTGCCTCACGTAACCTTGCCAGGATGGCCCTTCTCCAGCCAGGTACCCCCTGGGGTGATGGGCTTTCTCTTGGTGGATGTCAGAGGCCCACCTGGTTAGTGGGAAACTCACAGGTCACCACGTTTATGGTGCAGGGGCCCTCCTCCCTGCCACCTGGCAGAGGCCGGCGTGCGGGCTCCCGAGGGCCGCGGCTCCCAGGGCCAGATGTGAAAGCGTAGCCTGCAGGCCCACACCTCCTATGTGAATCACGCCTGGCGGGACAAGAAACCAAAAACACCCCAAACAATGAGTTTCCAGTAAAATATGACAGACGTGATGAGGCGGGGGAGGGGAGGGATCTGACTGGGAGTTGGCACTGGCCTGTGGGTGATGAAAGCCAAGGGGAATGGAAAATGCCAGTCCCGCCCCCTACTCAGGAGTATAAAGCACCCACATCCTATTCCAACTTACCTGAGCACCTTTCTCTCCTCTCTGCCGACTCGCTCGCTCACTTACTCACTCACTCACTCGCCTCCCTTCTCTACCATGACCACCTGCAGCCGCCAGTTCACCTCCTCCAGCTCCATGAAGGGCTCCTGTGGCATCGGTGGTGGCTCCAGCCGCATGTCCTCTGTCCTGGCCGGAGGGTCCTGCCGGGCCCCCAGCGCCTACGGGGGCCTGTCGGTCTCCACCTCCCGATACTCCTCCGGGGGGGCCTGCGGCCTGGGGGGCGGCTATGGCGGCGGCTTCAGCAGCAGCAGCAGCTTCGGGGGGGGCCTGGGTAGCGGCTTTGGTGGAGGATACGGTGGTGGCCTCGGTGCTGGCTTTGGTGGTGGCCTCGGTGCTGGCTTCGGTGGTGGCTTCGGTGGTGGCGATGGGCTCCTGGTGGGCAGCGAGAAGGTGACCATGCAGAACCTCAACGACCGCCTGGCCTCCTACCTGGACAAGGTGCGCGCCCTGGAGGAGGCCAACACCGACCTGGAGGTGAAGATCCGCGACTGGTACCAGAGGCAGCGGCCCAGTGAGGCCAAGGACTACAGCCCCTACTTCAAGACCATCGAGGACCTGCGGAACAAGGTGTGTGGATTGGGCAGCAGGACTTGCCATCCCAGCGATCTCACTCTGGAGCAATAGATGCCTCAGGCTGCTGAAATCTCTAGATTCCAAGACAGGGCAGGCTCCAACCCCAGATCCCTTCTTCTGGCTCCAGACACCTCCGGCAGAGCGGGTCCATGTCTCTGGCCTAGCTCAGGTCCAGACCCCAGGCCATGTGAGACTGGGGATTCCTACCCTTACATTTTATAGAGGAAGAAGACAAAGTTTTGAGAGGTGCTGGGACCTGCTCAAGGCCACCCAGCAAATCAATGGCAGAGCCGGGGCCAGAACCCTTGTGCCCACTTGCTAGTACAGGAGGCAGCTGCCTGTTGCCCAGCACAGGGGAGGAGCGAGGCTGTAACGGGACCAGGCTAGACACCCAAACCACTCATTAGCTCATTAGTCTGGGCTGTGGCGGCTGCCGCCCGTGAGCCCTGGCACCGGCCCCTCCCCACAGCCGGGGGGTGGCACAAAAACCCCACAGAGACAATCAGTGGTGACCCACCCTACATGCCCTGCACAGGAGGGAGCCTGGGGGACTTGTGTCACCTGATTCCAGCCCCACCCCTACCCCCTGCTCTAACCTCACCCTGGGAACCCTCTCCACTGATCCTGCTTCTTGGTGTCTGGCTCTGATGCCTTGTGTGGATTAGGTAAATTAGATGATGGGGAGGGAACTCCATCCAGTCCAGGGTTCAGTCTTTGTTCGTGTTCTTCTGCCTCTTCTCTTCTCATCCCCTGCACTAGCTGGGTCTCCTCTTTTGGGAAAGCCCCCCCTGAGGTCCCATGCTCTTGCAGGCTTGAAAAGGAATGTTGAAGACTGGCAGGGCTGGCTGATGCAGAAAGAGAATCCTTAGGTCACTTCTCTCCTCCGTAGATAGGGAAACTGAGGCCCTGCAACCCATCAGTGGTAGAACCAGGAACACAACTCAAGGGCTTTTGGTTCCAAGGCCAGGGCTGTTTCTGTCCATTCTTCTGATCAGGAGTCAGCAAAGTCCTGGGTCAAAGCTGGACCACTGTGGCTTATCCTTAGGCTGCTGTAGCAAAGGCTTTGGGAGAAGGGGAGACTCAGGTGAGAGCAGAAAAGCAAAGGCCTAATGTATGCAGGCTTCAGAGAAGTCTGGCTAGTGATGGCCGTTTGACCAACGACCTGTGTCCTCTCCACCTGCAGATCCTCACAGCCACTGTGGACAATGCTAATGTCCTCCTGCAGATTGACAATGCCCGCCTGGCTGCTGATGACTTCCGTACCAAGTAAGTTTGCAGTGGTGGCTTAAGATGTCCAATCTCCCCAGGATGTTCCCTAAACAAAGCGGACAAGTTGCCAGGATGGCCACATGAAAACCCCTCGGGGTACTTGTAAAAATACAAGATTCTTGGGCCCTACCCTTGGAGTTCTCATTCAGTTATTTTTAACAGACTACCTGAGTGATTCTGATCTACAGCCAGGTTTGGGTGCCATTGCTTTAGGGAGAGCTGTTCCTTACTTCCCCACCTGCTCTTGAAGTGCAGGAGGCAGTCACATTTGGAGGCCTGCGTGCTATTGGTTGTGAGGCCAGAAGCATCTCCCCTCCCTGAATTCTACAGGATGATGAACGACCTTATTCCCTGGACCCGGGAATGTTCAGATCTGAGCCATCAATGGGTGCTGTGTCCAACCATGCCATTTTCAAGACTGACTCCCTAAACCACCCACAGGGTGCCGGCTATGGGAAGAAGCTGCAGGGGGCAAAGAACAAAGCCTTCAGTGTGGCCAGGATGGGTGTCTCATTCCTTTTCTCTCGGGTCATTCCAGGTATGAGACGGAGTTGAACCTGCGCATGAGTGTGGAGGCCGACACCAACGGCCTACGCCGGGTGCTGGACGAGCTGACCCTGTCCAGAGCTGATCTGGAGATGCAGATCGAGAGCCTGAAGGAGGAGCTGGCCTACCTGAAGAAGAACCACGAGGAGGTGAGGGCCAGCTTAGAAGATGAGCTGGGAGGGAAGGGATGGAATTGAGATGGGGGAGGGCAATGCTCAGGCCAGGAACACCTCTGACTGGGGAACCCCAACCGGCTGCCACGGTGAGGCCCCTGACTGTGGGCTGTGCTTTGGTTGTGCAGGAGATGAACGCTCTGAGAGGCCAGGTGGGCGGAGATGTCAACGTGGAGATGGACGCCGCCCCCGGCGTGGACCTGAGCCGCATCCTGAATGAGATGCGCGACCAGTACGAGAAGATGGCCGAGAAGAACCGCAAGGACGCCGAAGACTGGTTCTTCAGCAAGGTGGGTGTCATCCTGGGTGGAGGGGACTCAGGAGACCCGCCTTCTAGGAACTTCTAGGGTGAATGATTTTTTTCTTTTCTGCAGACGGAGGAGCTGAACCGCGAGGTGGCCACCAACAGCGAACTGGTGCAGAGCGGCAAGAGCGAGGTCTCTGAGCTCCGGCGCACTGTGCAGAACCTGGAGATCGAGCTGCAGTCGCAGCTCAGCATGGTAGGGGGCTGCCAGGCGTGGACTGGACTCCGGACTAGGAGGAAAGGGAGTGCCTACCCTCATTTAATCCTGATCTTTCCCTCCCTCACAGAAAGCATCCTTGGAGAGCAGCCTGGAGGAGACCAAAGGCCGCTACTGCATGCAGCTGGCCCAGATCCAGGACCTGATCGGCAATGTGGAGGAGCAGCTGGCCCAGCTGCGCTGCGAGATGGAGCAGCAGAACCAGGAATACAAGATCCTGCTGGACGTGAAGACGCGGCTGGAGCAGGAGATCGCCACCTACCGCCGCCTGCTGGAGGGCGAGGACGCCCAGTGGGTGCCCAGCCCCCCACCCCAGTCCTGACCCCCCGCAACTATTCACCTCCTCTACCCCATGTGTCTAATGATCTTGACCTTTTCTGTCTTCATAGCCTCTCCTCCTCCCAGTTCTCCTCTGGCTCTCAGTCCTCCAGAGATGGTAAGACCTTCCTCCTCCTCAAGCCTGGACTCATCACCGCTTCCCGTCTCCCAGCAGGTCTAGGGAGTTGGCTTTTTGAGGGGTTGGCTAGAGTTTTCTCACCCAGGATCCCTTATAAATCTCCTTGGGTAGAAGAAGGCAATTTTCTAAATCTTCCTTAGAGTTAGGAGCTAGTGGCCTCCACTTTTTACTTCTGTCACATGGTGTCTATGGCAGACCCCATGGTTCTGGTGGTCAGCACCAGGGACAGCCCCCCCCCCCATGTGACTCTTCCTGCCGAGACCAGTTCACTTGGGTTGATCTGGACTGAACCAGTCCTGTTTGAGTTCTTAGGAACCTCCAGTCTGAGGACACAGACTCTGCTCCTGACCTTAGGGAGCTCTAGTCTGAAAAAAATGTGTTGATGGTATCAGTGCTGGGCTAAGAGCTGTGAGCGAAGTGATAATCAGGGCAGAGGGCAGCAGGGAGATAGTTCATTTAAGTCCCATCAACTTCCTGGTCTCCCCGCTCCTGATTTCTCCATTGCCTGTCCACTGCTCGTAACACCCTCTGTCCCCTCTTCCCCAGTGACCTCCTCCAGTCGCCAGATCCGCACCAAGGTCATGGATGTGCACGATGGCAAGGTGGTGTCCACTCACGAGCAGGTTCTTCGCACCAAGAACTGAGGCTGCTCAGCATTGCTCAGGCCTAGGAGGCCCCCCCATGTGGACACACATCTCGCTGGGGGATACTCCTCTTGCCCCCAAGCACTTCACACTTGAGTCCTGCCTCACCCTTGCCCCCTCCTGGCAATCAATAAAGCTTCATTATTTGAGTTGCACAACTCCCGCCTCTGCCTGGTCATTGTCAGGAGTGGAGGTGGGGAGAAAGCGGGGGAAGCATCTCTTTGGAGCTTATAGCATCTGGCTGTGGCCTCTGGGACTGGGAGAAAGGGCCTGAGGGCGGACTAAGCTCAGTCCTGGGATGGCTTTCACCATCTCGAAAGATACAGATAGAAGTGTGTCCTAGGTAATTTGTGGTGTCTCCTATCATGGAGAAACATTCATTCACTCACTCACTCATTAATTTACTCATTTATTCACTAGTTTGTTTATTCACATACCAATGTTACTGAATGCCTTTTGTGGGCCAGGCACAATGGCAGGTTAAAGATTTTTTTTTTTTAAACAATTTTGTCATGAGGGATTTCTTTGAGAATATATTGAAAACTATAGATCTTTTCTCCTCCCCCAGCCCAATGAGCACACACACATTTGCACATAACTCATGAGGTTCATGGGTCCCCTAAAACTTATCAGTGGAGGTCCACAAACCCAGTAAGAACTCATTTTTTACTGAGTTTTTACTGAGTTACTGAGAACTGATTTACTGAGAAGTTGTCTCCCTCCATCCCACCTGCTCTTGCCTCTAGAGCTGGGACTGAACCTGCCTGCTCTCAGTTGACATAGCACAGGTTGATTATCATCTCCAAGCCTCAGTTTCCATGTCAGTAAAGTGGGTACAATGACACTACCTACCTCATGGGATGTTTGTGAGGATTTGCTGGAAGAATGCATGAAGGCCATTAGCACAGGCCCTGGCACTGTGCCAAGCTCAGGGCACGACAGTGAGCAACACTGGGTGAGCTACCTCTCAAGTGTGGTGATTCTCCATCTATGATGAGGGCAGTGTTAGAGGCTTTGGGAACAGATTGACTGGATTCTAACCCTGGCTCTATTCTGTATTAGCTCTGTGATCTCGGAGAGTCTCAGTTTCCCCACTTACCTAGTAAGCATGGTGAACTCAGCTTCTTAGAGTTAATATGGGAATCCAGTAAGTGAATGCACATTAAGAACCAGGCTGTAGGTTGTAGGAGAACTTTCTGGTGGAAAAGTGTCTTTTTCTTTCTGTAGGGGGCTGGAAAAGGAGGAGGAAGGGGAGGATCTCACCTGCTGAGTACATAGTGAAGATTCCAGAGCTAGGTGGGGCTCATCGCCCCGAGGTAGGAAAGAGTTGACTAGTCACTGTGTCAATTTCAAGAGCTCATTCATTTGGCTGTGTGAATGAAACTTCTAGGCAGAACCAAGGATGGGACTGGGGTTAAAGAAAGAAGAGTTCTTGAAAGCAAGGGATCTAAAAGCCTAGGCTTTGGAATTAGACACTCTGGGTTGGAGTCCTGGCTCCCACACTGACTAGCCTGGAAGAATTTGGATATCTTACAAAATAGGGAATGAAAACCCTTACCACATAAGGCCAATGGTAGATTGGATGATCTCATACAGGCAAAGAGTTTAGCATTGTGGTTGGCACATAGTTGGTGCTCTATAAATGGTAGAGTAAGAGGGTGAGTTATTAGGAATTGGAATGAAGTGATGTTGGTTTCTCTTCACCTCATCTTCACCCCAGGGAAGAGAGGCCTGCTTTGTGTTCCTGAAACTCTGGGATGTCTTTTTACCTGAGTTTTGGCATTACGAAGGGTTTATCTGGGGTGATGTCTGGGGGAGGGTGCTCTATTCTGCAGATGAATGATTAATTTCAGAGGTATGAGGGAATAACTCAGAGAGGAGGGCGTTTGAAGGAGTTTCCTTGGAAGCTCCTGGGAAGGGATGGTTTTGTGGCCCTAAGAGTGCTAGGTCCCATATGATATCCCTAAGGATGCCGGACCGTAAGGACTAGTGTTCTCAGCTGGGCAATGAACTCATGTGTGGCAGGAATCTGAGGAGTGGCTCACATTTGGGAGGCCACATGGACCTGGAAAAAGAGCCAAACCTATCAGCAGTTACCCATGAGGACTGAAGCCTAGAATGTTCCAGACTGTGTAAGAATTCCCAGACATCACTCTGCTGTGGAGGTGGTGGGAGATTAAAGCTTCTACCTCCAAAAGAGATCTGCTTAGAGGAATATAGAATGTGAAATATTTTAGACTTGAGTGTGGTGTGGTGAGCTTCCCCGCCTCTTGATTGGCTGCCATTACTGTTTGGAGGGAATATAGGGGGAGTGCGCTTGCTTAATGGTAAAGATGGCGGCTGGAGGCCACCTGGCTGAAAGCAGGTTCTGTAGTCGGGGGTGCGGGGGAAGTAACTCAAACAGTGGGCCTTGAGGGCCTTCCACCTTGTCTGGGCCCCAGAGGAAAAGAGCAGGCAGAGCTGCCATACCAGAGTCCCACTTGGAGTCCACCCCTCTCTGGGGTCCGCTACCACCATACTCCCCTGGGAAGAGCAGAGTCAACACTTTGGGTCCTGCTGCTGACCAGTGCTCTTGTTCACAAGGCCTGGCACCACAGGAACCCACCTAAAGACCCAGGCCAGCCTCTCTGACCATGGCAAGACTGCCTCCCCCACTGCCACCCCAGATCTGAATGATAGGAAGCCAGGAAAGTGACTCCACAGCACAGTCTAGCGGAGGCAGAAGGAATTGCCTCTCGGACGCCTGGGGCAGGTCACAGGGCCTCTCTGGCTCCTTTTCGGCCTATGCATTTTGGTAGGATTGATCCTCTCTCCCCGCCCTCTCAGAGCATAGAAGGGCAGCGCCAGAGGAGTGTGGGAGACGGCTCCTCCAACCTTGTCAACTTAGGGGGACGGTGGCCTGCTCTAGGTCATACGGACTGAAAGTGGACCAGGTGCTCAGGCCTCTGGTCCTGGACCGGGCTTGTGCTTCCTTCCTGCTGGGTTCTCTCTCTGGGATGGGACGAGGCTGAGAACCCCATGGGACCACTATGAATTTTTTCCCAGCTGACTCCAAGGTTTTTGTCTTATGGATGGGCCCACCTTGAAATACTGGTACTCTTTAGTTTTGGGGGCCCTTTTTATTGTGAGAGGAACTCAACTGTGTCCAGGGAACTTGATGGGCCCAAGTGGCATATTGCCCTGTGGTTACTTGATCTGGTGAAAGGCTTTTCCTCAAGGCCACAGATAACCTGCTTTGGGTAATGTAGCCAACTAGTCTTACAGCCTAGTGTCAGAGGGGGCAGCCCCAAGGACGCCTGAGGCCCAGGAGGCTGGAGGTCCTGATGTCCTGGCCTGGCCCACCTCATTGAACTTGGATGCTGCCCCAGAGGGGACAAGGGGGTGCTAGGGACTTCCTGGGCAAGGGCCTGGCCTTGGGCAGACAGGACATGTACCAGCAGTTCCTCCTTTGCCTTTTGCTGGGCCAGCATTTTCCTGCGAGATTCAGTGAGGGGAAGCGACTTTCCACGGAGGAGTGGAAGACCTCGGCTTTGCACTCAGACCTGTCTGGCTCCAAAAGCTGGTGCTCTGAGCCTCCTTGCAAGGTAAGTCCTCACACCCTTGCCCAGGGCCCCTGCTGTCATGGCGTGTGGCTACGTCGGGTGGTGGCAGGCGCCTAAGACGTGAAGAAAGAAGCGTTGGCAAACAGGTGAAGGCGCCTGACCCCGAGCCAGCGGGCAGTCCCTGCCTCGATGGACAATGGGCCCACGCCTGCCTCCCAGAACAGCCATGCACGATGACTCAAGGTGCTCCCCGGGCCCCACCTGGGGCCCGGTGACACAACAAGTGCGAGGTGTGAGCGGCTGGCTCCAGCAAGCAGCAGGGCTCCTGTGGTCCGAGGAAGGCTGTCCTTGCCCCCTCACCCCCCAGTCCTCTTACCCCTGCCCTCTGGGGACACCTCGTAGGTGGCATCTGGTTTCCTCTCTGCTCCCCGTTCGTCTGAGTCCTAGCAGCCGTTTGTGTCCCACTCCCTCCCCCTCTGCGAGCAGGGCCTGCACTGTGGGTGCTGGCGCGGTGGGTGCGGGCTGCAGCCTTGCCCAGGGGGCTGCAAAGGCAGCGCAGATCCACCCCAGGTCTCAGGCGCCAGGGTGCCCTCAGCTGAGTGTGCGCCATTTCTCACGCGTGCTCTGGAGGTTTCCTGCAGGAGGGGTTTCATGTGGGACTCCAAGGGCAGCCCCCGAGCCCTGAGAGAGTAGGAGAATGAGCCAGAAGAAATCACTCACCCAGGCCAGGGCTCTGCGAGCTTCCCTGATCCCTGAACCCATCTTCCGCAGTCTAGATCCCGGTGCCAGACAGGGAGAACTGGGGTGGCGGGGGGAAGGGACGGCACCCAGGGGCTACGGGAGGAAGGTCTCATTTCCCAGCCGCGGGACTGTCCAGCGCAGCAAGCTCCTCTTGACACTAGAAGTAGGTGTGGAGGGGACTGTCCGATGTGGGGAGCAGGGCTGCAGTTGGAAATTTATCCAGAGACCCCTCCAGACAAAGCGTGATGCGTGCACTGTATTTATGGCCCCTGACAACCGTGTATGGAAGGGTTTCTCATGAGGAAACTGAGGCCAGGGCCCCAGGGCAGGGAAGATGGGGCTGGGAGACAGCCTTTTGTCTCTCCACTCCACTGCTTCCCTGAGCCCCATTGAGGGGTGCCAGATGGAGAGAGCAGAGGGACAGAGAGAGAGCTTGGGAGAGGGTGACAAGCCCCGGGGCAAATGTGCAGGGACAGCCCAGAGGTGGGAGAAAGGCCTGGACCCCTTAGCACTCAGGGAAGGGAGCGGGCCTGGCAGTGACCAGTGTTTCCTTAGTGCACATAGGAAATTGGCCAGCCAAGTCCAAAATTCAGGGGACAGCCAGCTGTGACAGTCGACCCGGATCACATGAACTGTTAGGTCCTTGCCTCGTTGTCCCCCTGGGACATGGGTGTCCCCACCGGCAGCCCAGCCTTCCCCAGTAGCTGCCATGGAATTCGGAGGGTTACCACCTGCTGTTCTGAGCTGTGTGTGGGTTAGGGCCAGCCCCGAGGGTGGAGGCAGGAGGTGGCTGAGGGCAGAGGTTGGAGGGCTCTGGACCCGGGCTGGAAATGGGCTCTCTCACGAAAGTCAGGTGGGTACAGTTACCCCAGCTGGAAGCTTCTGGTCAGTCAGGCAGGTCCCAACTGTCCCAACACAGTCAGGCCTAGACTTTTAGGACCACCTGCCACCCCAACACGAATGCATTTGCAGAGAATGCACGTGCAGGGCCTGAGAGGGGCTGCTCTTCTGGCTCTGGCCTCCCCTGCTCACCCCAGCTCTGCCAACCCCTTCTGTACCCGGCTCGGGCATCCAAGACCTGGGGGGTACATCCCGGGGTGGCGGCATCACATGGGAATCAGGGGAGGAAGTAAAAAAAAGGGCTAGGGCCTTCCCAGGGCTCCAATCACATCGCAGGCAGCCTGGGAAAGGTTTACAAACAACACGCTTGCCCCCAACCGTGGTGTAAGTTTCCCGTGTGTTAGGCATTCACAAAATGCCTTCAAGATTTTTTTGTACTCCCTGTTTAATTTTTTATTTGATATTTAATATTTTATATTAATATTTTGTACAACCCATTTAAATAGTTACTGCATTTTGGTACATCAGCTCACCTGTCATTTTTTTAAAATAATTTTTTATTGTTATGTTAATCACCATACATTACATCATTAGTTTTTGATGTAGTGTTCCATGATTCATTGTTTGTGCATAACA